GTTTCCCATTACCCGGTCAATACACTATGGACGTACCGCACGGTATGATGTTCACTAGATAAATTGCGAAAATGGGAACAAATATGTTACTAGCAACGAGAATTTCAGACTTATGGGGGTACATGTACCTAGTGTAAAATGGTTTTATTGCATTTGTATCCAGTATTTGTCGGGAGAAAACATCCTTCCAAGTTATTATGACAGAATTGTTGAAATAACAGTGTATGATGGGTCCTTTTTGTACATCAATTCAACAATTACAACAATTCAAGCAGCTGTTTGCTCTTTTTTTTTAAGAAAATGTAATTTAAAGTTGCAATGAAATTAGTATAGAATTTGTATCAATGGAAGCGTGAAGTAGTTTTTTTTTTTTTTTCGTTTAAGTTATAAGTTTGAAAGTTTAATGGTGCATGGCCCTGTCACCCATACTTTTAGAAATATTTTTTTTCAAATTGACTTTTCAAATATGCATAATGATTAATGTATTTTTAATACCGTAATTTTAATGATTTTTTTTTTTTTCATTATTGCATTTATATATTATATAGTAATGCAAGTTTAAGAGAAATTTGAATTCCAAATACATTGAAAACTAATTCATCAATTTATGGAGAATAAACTATTTCCCTCTTCAAATAAAAACGTAAAAATTCTTCATCATTTATGTACTTGCCAGCAAAAAAAAGGAAACCAAGGTAAAGTATTTTACCTTCTCAATACTTCAAAACGACAATAAACATAATTCATTAAAATTAAGAAGGAATTGAAGGAACTATGTCATATAAAGGGAGATAACTCAGATAAAATAACTTTTATAAAGACTTGAATGTGTTATTTTATTACATTTATGTACATGTAGCAGGAAAACGAGTCCCGTGACTCCAATTTTTCTTTTTCTTATAAAAGCATTTTATAGGATCTAACTTCTCATATTTTATATTAAAATTCTATCGTTTAGTTTTCTTTTTATTAAACAAAATTGGGTTTTCCATCTATAATCTTTACTAAATCTGACAATTTCGCACAACTTGTAGTGTGACCCACACTTTTAATTAAACTTTCGAAAATAACTCATCATAGAAATTTTGTACATGCGTTTCGTCTACAAAAGACTCATCAGTGACACTCGAATGAAAAAAATCAAAAGGTAAAATACATTTGTCAAGTACGAAGTCGAAGAGCATTGATAGCTAGCCCAATGTTCCGAAAAGGTTTTGCCTAAAAACGGCTAAGGTAAATTCTATTATTGGGGTTTACAGAATAGAGAATAAAGGGCAAAAGGTGCAGAATAATGGCCACAAACAAAAAATAAAGAATAGAGACAAATTTTAAAGAATTTGACGTAATGTTTAAAGTTTTTAAATTAACCTGTTTTCCTTATAATGACGTTATACCTCCATCAGCCTGAAAATGTTATGGCATTTCACACAGAAGTTCTTATTTCTATTATTGCAAAACATTGTATGAATATTAGATTGCGTTCTCTGGTTCTATTTACATGCATTGAAAAAATCCTCCACTGGACGTTTAGTAAGCAAATGAACCATTAATAAAGTGAAGTAAATAAATAAAAAAAACTTACTAACCTGCTTTGCCGCTTGTATCTTAACGACTGATCGAGCAGGTCATTGAGCATAGCTAAATTGTCGTATATACAATACTGTTGAATAAATTTATACTTCAGTAACTGTTAGAGTATTAAATAAAAACGACACGCATTAGTGAAACTGAAAAATGATTGAAAGAAATGATATCTTGAAATTTTTATTGACAAAATTGGTCTCTCATTTAAGATATTCATTCAAAATTTGCTATTTACCAATAAATAATAGATACAAAATAACCAAAAACTATTACAAATGGAAATATCTTTTTCTTCTTTAAACGTCACTTGCAAATATTGCGTTCATATTCATGACAAATTACATGTTGAATTCTACCCTTACGATACATTTTGAAAGTGGGTTTCTTTACAAAAACGAAAGACGTTATATTTCGAAGTCAGACAAGGTTAACTTTAAAACAGTATTCGTCGATCTGGTTATTCCTGTTTTGTGTTTATGCTCTAAAACTTAAATTATTACTTTTCTTTCAAATTATTCAATCTTGAGTGTACATGTACTTAACCGAGTTTATTGCATAAACACATCTCATAAGTTTTTGAATGTAAATAAGGGTACTTTGGGTAAGAGTAGAAGTTTCATCCAGTTATCGTTACATTTTGAAATATGCAGAGCATTCTTCCAGACTTCAACTTGGTATATGGCACATTAAAGAAGCAATCACAATTTACCGTACTAAATGACAGAATCCACTTTAGCCATATTTAAACTATACATATACCCCTGTTTCCTTTGAGATGTATTCTAATTAGTAGATGAAAGAATTGAGGAACGGAAGAGAATTGTATGTTACATATAATGATGGGATATTAATCGTTTAACTTGATATTATTTAGCGACCAGCGGCGAGTATGTCATGCATATCGTGTTCCATGATGATCTTCAAACTATCAAACAGAATCAACTGCCTTGTCTGTCCGTCCATATAAATTAAATGACCGTTTCTTACTGCATTACACACAAAGAAACACATGATATGATTTACTTGCCTGTAACACGTGTTTCTCGGCCTTAATCCCAACGAAAGACGACCTGGTTAAAACATTGAAAAAAAAAGATGCGAAAGAAAGTATAAGGACATTCCAACCTCAAATATTGAAGAGAAACTGACAACACTTTGTCAAATAAATGAAGACATACAGTCTTAAACCACTTAATACACGTTAGAAAACTAACAAATGAACCCCACCAAAATCCAAGAGTGATCTCAGTTGCTATGGAAGGGTAGGCAGAAACAGTTCTACATTAAGTTGTATTTTTTATTTGCTGACATTTTGATTTAATTCATCTAACTAAATAGTCGTTAGTTTTCTCATTTGAATTGTTTTACATTTGTCATTTCGGGGCCTTTTATAGCTGATTATGCGGTATGGTTTTACATATTGTTGAAGGCCGTACGGTGACCTATAGTTGTTAATTTTTGTGTCATTTGGTCTCTTGTGGAGAGTTGTCTCATTGGCAATCATACCACATCTTTTTATTTTTATAAACAACTTTATTGAATTTATTTTTCTTGTTTTATGAATGACATAAAATAAAAAAAAAAAAATTTTTTTTTAAATATATTCCTGCTCATACATGTCCTATTACCCTCAAATGCCCTTTTGAGAAAGGTATGGCGGCTTCGAGTTATTTTTCGCAAGTTTGTACTTATGGGATTTATCAGATTAATTACGTTAAAAGAATCCGAAATATCTTTTGAAACATTACATGAATACGACAATATTGAAAATGGTAGAACGATTGCAATGTCTAGTAAATTCTTTTTCATTCATTTTTACGAAAAAGAGGGCCTGCTCCTATATTGTAATGGTACGTGATGTGCAGTCTGATTACTTATCTTATTTGTCAAATCGAAATATGAAAGTACTATAAGAAATGCAAACCATCATATCATAACAATATTTAGAGAGTGTAATGCGAAAATGTTGTCATTTTAGAAGTGCTTGAACATTTATTATCACTCCAGTATTCCCCCAACATGATATTGCTATGAAGTGTAAAGCTAAAAGGCTCTAATTTGTTCCATTATTATATACATAAGAATATGTGGTATGATTACCAAAGAGGAAACTATCCACAAGTGACCAAATGACATAGTGGTAATGAATTATAGGTCACCGTAAGACCTGCAAAAAAGCAAAACTTATCCCGTTTAGTAAGATATAAACGGAACTGACATGAACAGGTATTTTGTGATTAATTTGAAAAAAAATCGAGTTAGACTTATCACCGGGGTTGTACATGAGCAACACGACGGGTGCTACAGGAGGAATAGGATCTGCTTTCCCTTCCAGATCACTTGAAATCACTTAGGGTTGTGGTGGAGTTCGTGTTGCTCAGTCTTTAGTTTTCTATGTTATGTTTGACTGTTTTCCTCGTTTATAGATATAAGAAGATGTGGTATGAGTGCCAATGAGACAACTTTCCATCCAAGTCAAAATTTATAAAAGTAAACCATTATAGGTCAAAGTACGGTCTTCAACATGTCAATTTTGTCTTTTGGTCTTTTAATTTTTTTGCCATGGCGTTGTCAGTTTATTTTCGACTAATAAATTTGAATATCCCTTTGATATCTATCACCTCTCATGTCTGGGTCTTTTATAGCTGACTATACGGTATGCGTTTTTGTTCACCGTGTAAGATCATTCGACCACCTCACCTATATTTGCTTAAATCAATGTGATCTAGACTCGGTTGGATAGTTGTCTCATTGGCAATTATACCTCATTCATTTTTTTTTTTAATGTATATACCTTCGTCTATGCACAATTGAACTGACACGTAGTTTTTTTTTTGCGAATAAACTTTATGTGTAAGAATGTATAAGTATTCGGTAACCAGGAAGTTGAAGGGTGCTGACCGTGAAAATGCATCACACGATAAAGCATGATCAAATCAACCTTGATACAAAATTCCGTAATCTGTGGTACGTAGTTGCCGAATTCGATTGATTGTTGTCTGCGTGACGTCCAGTGACAAATAATTCATACAAACTCAGGACGAGAACAAAATAACAATAAATGAAATAGGTAGGTCCTGCAATATGGGTCTACCTGGATGAAGGACAGAAAATGTGGAATGCCTCAGGGAAACGATGACAGAAATAAGCCTTGCAACATGCCCACCTAAGGATTCTGTAAAGCGTTTGTTGCAGAGGTTTTTAACGTGCAGAGAGCATTGCACTCTATCTACACTTGGAATCTGATCTAACGTCCACGTTCTGACAAACCGTGGTTGCGAATGTATACATCCTTCACAACCAAGCGGACGCCCCACTTTATCAAGGGTTTTGCTGTCGGTCGGTAGAAGACACAGGTGACCATATTTCTATGCCCCAGTCAACCTATGGGTCAGCAGTTCCTGTTAAAAATGTAACGAATTTAATAACAAATTTATTATATGGACGTAATGTGAAAGAATACATAAGTATTTGGTGAACAGAAAACTGAAGAGTGACGAACGTTAAAATGCATCACACGGTATGGCATGCGAAAATCTGTTTATCATTACACTCTTATTATAGATATGCATAAGAATGAAAAGTGTTTGTTCTATCTTTCTAATAAATGCACAATATTTGAAAGATATTTATTTTTTGCAATATCCAGTGGTGTCAGTCCTCTCCATTTAATGTTGCAATCTGCTTTATGATTCAATAATAATTCAACAATATCTGTATGACTTTTAAAACAAGCTATCAACAAGGGGGGTTGTCCTGTGTTCGTACACTTGTTAATGTCTGCCTTATTGTTAATTAATAAGTTTACTACATTAGTATGGCCTTCTTGGCAAGCAATATACAGAGGTGATACTCCTATATCATTACACTTGTTAATGTCTGCCGCCATACTATTTATTAACATCTGAACGACTTCAGTATGTCCTTGGTGACATGCAATGTACAGAGGAGATGTTCCAATATCCCTACATTTATTGATGTCTGCATTATTGTTTATTAACACTTGAACAACTTCAGTATGTCCTTGGTGACATGCAATGTAAAGAGGTGATGCTCCAGTATCTCTACATTTATCAACGTCTGCCTTATTGTTGATTAATATTTCAACAACATCGGTATTGTTTTTCTGGCAAGCAATATACAGAGGTGATACTTCTTCTTCATCACACTTAGTTATGTCTGCATTATTGTGTATTAACATCTTCACTACTTCAGTGTGTCCTTTCCGACAGGCAACATGAAGAGGTGATGCTCCATTTTCTCTACACTTATTAACGTCTGCATTATTGTTTATTAATATCTGAACTACTTTGGTATGACCTTCCCGACAAGCGATGTGTAGAGGCGATGACCCAGTATCTCTACACTTATTAATATATGCTTTATTGTTAATCAACATCTTCACTATATCAGTATGTCCTTTTTGACAAGCAATGTACAGAGGGGATACTTCTTCATCATCATACTTATTAATGTCTGCTTTATTGTTTATTAACGTCTCAACTACTTGAATATGACCGTTCCGACATGCAATAAACAGAGGTGATGCCCCAGTATCTACACACTTACTAATGTTTGCCTCATTGTTTATTAACATCTTAATAACTTCGGTATTTCCTTTCCCACAAGCAATAAACAGAGGTGATGATCCATTATCTCTGCACTTATTGATATCTGCCTTATTTTTTATTAACATCTGAGCTACTCCAGTGTGTCCTTGGTGACAAGCAATTAACAGAGGTGAAGATCCAGTATCTCTACACCTATTTATTTCTGCCATATTATTAATTAACATCTGAACTACTTCAGTATGTCCATTTTGACAAGCAATATACAGAGGTGATGCTTCTTTATCATTGCACTTATTAATGTCTGCCTTTTTGTTTATTAACATCTTTACTACTTTAGTATACCCTTTCTCACAAGAAATATACAAAGCTGTTGCTCTATCATCATTACGGCAATGGTTTACATTACTGATGCAATGATACAGACACCATTTGACCAGATCAATTTCTCCAATGAAACAACATTGTATCAAGGGAGTGCTTTTGTTATTTTTGTCATATGAACTAGCCAATTGCTGTTGTTGTGATAGTTTTAATACCTTAACAAATGCCATGAATCTTTTTCGGAAGATTTGATTTTCTGTATTGAGGTTAGAGAAGACATCTACAACGTTTCCTCCAGACCAGTCATCTATCATCCTCTGTATATACATTTCCTTATACTTCTCTGGTACAATAATGATAAACTCGTCACTTTTTCTTTTTCTTTCAAATAAAAACCTTTCACGAATAAATCGACTTGTAGCATTATTAATTAAACAATTAATCATCACACTGCCAAAGTAAAAAGCTAAAAAGTCAAACAGCTTGTCGTGAATAGTTCTGTACACATCATCATCCTTTCTGATAAATGTCTGTGTTAATGAATCAAGCTCATCACGTAGAACCAATTGCGAAGTTCCTTCCAACACTTTACAATGTTCATATGTGTTCCGTATAATTTTTTTGATGTCATCGTCCACATCTTGTGTAAGCCATTTTTCTTTCAAACGATTGTTAAACATGACGCATAGAGCAAGTGCACAGTATTTCTCATTCGCCTGATCTGTATGTAATTTATCTATCCCTTCTTTATAAACTGTAAATGGGTTCTGAAAGAAATTTACAATGCTCAGTTTTGTGTTTTTGCTGTACAATTGACATAAAAGAGGAAAACAGTCAAACATGTCATACGATTCAAAGATCTTTGCAGCGTTTGTTTTCAGGTAAAATTTAGCTATTGATTGTTTTTCTGTTTTAGATAAACGCATTTTTTCACACAACAGATTACACTCACAGGATTGATACAATAATAAAGACTTCAATTTTTCATCGTTGTAAACCTGTAGTCTACAAGACATAATTAATTTAACTGGTTTCTTTTCTACTAATGTTTTGATTGTTTCCATTGTATTTTTCCAGTTTTCATACTTTATTGGATTTAAGGTATATGTTCCACAAAAGTCATCCACAACAAACAGCGTCTTTCTACTTGGATTGTGCCACTTAATAATTTCTTTAGGATTCGATACTGGTAAAATCTCCCAGCCTTTGCTTTGCATCTGTATAGCTACGTGACGCACCAATGATAACTTTCCACAACCAGAACTTCCGGTGACAACAACGCAACCATTTTTTTCAATACAGTCTAATACATATTTTGTCCCATTCGTTTCAATAAATGTTTTGTCATTTTCAGTCCAAGCTTCCAATTCCTCTTTAATGTGTCCTAAAAAAAAATGTGCCAATTCTTGTAATATATGTGATATAATCGGTAAAATTGCATTTGTAATAAAGTATTCTGGTATTTTAAGTTTTAAGACTGCGAAAACATGTCTTTCGTGAGATGAGCCGCAGACATATCGTAAGGGTCAACGAATTTGTGGTAGTGATCAGAAAACAATACGTAGTGTCTTTTTAAAAGAGAGGCGAACGATACCAAAGGGGCATTCAAAATCATAAATCGAAAATAAACAGACAACGCCATGGCAAACGCAAGACTCTAAAGAGCCTGTGCTGCACCCCTATGTCTATGTCCATCTTTCACAATGGTCATTCTCCAACATTGTGGACTAGAATAGAATTCATGACAAAAATCACTTGCTGATTATTTTAGTATTTTTTTAGTGTCCATCTATATTTTGTAGGGTTAAAGATAGTACGCAAAAACACAAAATGGGTAAAATTGATTTAAAGAACAACAATTTAGAAAAAGGAGTCAACTGACGATTTTGGCAACTTAACGTTTTTATTGATGTTGTCTTACTGATAATGTTTGCGTATTAAAGTTCTTATCTATCTAGTATAGTGTTTAAGTAAATAGGCAAATACGCGAAATATTTGTAAAATCGTTGTTAAGGGGAATAACTTCTAAAAGCAGCAATCGGAAGGTTTTGGCAAGTTAATTTATCTGTAGATCTTGTTTTGCTTATTAGTTTTGTGTTTAAAAGTTTCTATCTATCTATTATAGTTCTAAAGATAATGGACAAAAACACTAGAAATGAGTAAAAATCGTTATTAAAGAGCAATAAGGTGTCGTAGGACGATTTTTATTTATTATTTGTCGATCTTGTCTTGCTGATCATGATTCCTTATATACCGTTTCTATTATCTAAGATAGTGTTTACGATATAAGTCAAACGCGCAGGAAATGGTAAAAATCGCCATTTAAGTGTAATAACTCCAATACGGAGACGTCTGACGATTTCGTTCATGGAGCTTATTTGTATAATTTTTAAGATAATAGGCAAACACAGAAAAAATGATAACATTCGTCATTTAAGGGCCATAACTCTTGTAAGAAGTCGTTTGACTGCTTAGATATATAAGGACAAGAGGCAGATCTCAACATTCTAAAATGTCTTGCTCCAGTCAAATATTATCTATTCATATCAGTTTTCAAGATAATAGATAAAATTTGGGTTTTTTTTTATCCATGTCGCCCTGTTAGGTTACAGGCGGAGTCATCAAACACATTTTATAAACTAGATACCCCAATGATGATTGTAGCTAAGTTTGGTTAAATTTGGCTTAGTAGTTTTAGAGGAGAAGAATTTTGTTAAATTTAACGGACGACGACTTCGGACTATAGACGCCAAGTGATGAGAAAATACTAAGGATAGCTAAAAACGAGAAACGACCAAAGGACAAACAAAAGTATACCAAACACAACATAGAAAACTAAACACTGAGCAACACTAACCTACTAAAAACCGGGGGTGATCTCAGGTGCTCCGGAAGGGAAAGCAGATCGTGTTGCTCATGTAAATACAAACCCTGTGATAAGTCTAATTCATAAGGTCATATTCGGGGAAAAGAGGACGGGAATGTGGTAACGACAATTGGAAAAATTTCGTTGTTATCTTTGATAAGTCGTTTTCCTAATAACTCTGATTGGACAGATTTAATCTCCACTGCTAATGAAGTCCGTATAATATGAATGTACATGACCGTGATGCATCAATTGATATGTTTAAACATCATACGAAGGGAAAGAGGATATGTTTCTGCTGATAAGAGGAAAGTTAAAATCGTCAAGTTTGACATAGATTCTATCTTAAATTTAAAATAGGAGAGAGACTTTTTATTCAACGATGAAGTTGGATCTTTTGGTTATTAGTAACGGAGAAATAATCATACTTAATACAACATTAAACTGAATATAAGAACCATGGAAATGATATCAAGGTCATTTGAACCTATTGCAGACGGTTATGGACAACTAAAACACATTCTTTAAACCGTATACCCTTGACCTTTTACTTCTAGTATCTTAAAGACTTTATCACATTTAACAGACAATGAGGTTTAGGTCAAATTAACACTTCTTGACAGATATGTATAGCCTTCAATCATTCTATACGTCCTATATAGCTGACCTTTTGTTTATATTATTTACAACACGGACCATAAGATGATCTGTCAATAATCAGCTACTAAACAGAGCCAATAAAGTAAAAAATTCATTCAAAATATATGTTTTATCCAGTATTCAAAATGTAAATTAGAAAAAAGCAGCAGAATATGAAAGTGTTAGTCAGTGTACACCTTGAGATGATCCTTCTCAAAAAGGTAGCCTGTCGTCCTAGGTATAGGTGTATCGATTCCTAAAAGCTTACCTAGTGCATAAGGAGTGGTGAGCAAAAATGAGAAAAGGTAATGTATATAAAAGATTTCCGAATTATATAAAGACCCGGTTATGCCGGTATGATCCTTAATGTATTACTGTAATTTTTTCATGCAGTATAATTATAGTTTAAAATACCTCTCATGTTCCATGGTATTGGATCTTTCAAAATCTCTGTGACTTCTTTCAAATTTTCCGTAGCTCTTGAGTGTTCTGTCTGTAAAGTAATGTGGGAATCTTGCAGATCTTTAAGACTTTCCTTCATCATGTTCATGGTTGAATGTTCAATGTCCATCGTTCGCCTCAGTTCCTTCATCTCTTCCTGCGATTGTTTGATTTCCAGCATAATTTCCTGATTTGACTGATCTAAGATTTTCACCTTTAACTCTTGGCACTCTTGATTTAATGGCGAACCTCCTATTCGACTAACAGCCTATAAACAAATTGTTACAAAGAATTACAGAAACACCATAAGATCATAATCCACCTTTATGGATTAGTAGCAAAAGTGGCCAGGAACAGTTTATGTTTATTAATGATGACCGTTTAAATATGAGGAAGTACATGCCAAATGATAAGATACCAAAAATATTACTGTCAATTAATTGCTACATTGCCCTAGACTCTTGACCAGATGAATTCAAAATCAAAAGTGATATTGTGTTTTGTCCTTGTATGAATAATCTTTCCACAAAGATTGGTAAAGATCTTATGTATGGCTCGTAAGAAATAAAAGTTTATCAAAGATAACAGGCTTATAACTTGAAGTACGCCAGACGAGCGGTTCGTCAACAAAAGACTCACCAGTGTTGGAATGAAAGCCGTTAGAAAGCCTGATCAAAACAGTCGGAAAGCCAAATAAAATACGAAGTTAAAATGCGTTGAAACCCGTATATTTTGAAAAAAGTTGTTATTAATACGCTTAGGCAATTTATTCCTGGTGGGAGAAAAACTTTAAAAAACATTTAAAAATTCAAACTTTCTATAGGTAGTGTAATCCTGACGATTGGTCTATTTACTTGAAGTTAGAAATTGTTTTCTTCTATCCAATTCATCGTATGATTGGCATCATATTGAAACAGCAATTTAAGCTACGGTCAAGGTCGGTCAATCTATATTTAGTTACAAAAATTGCTGTCACGATCCCATTCTCCATAATTAGCATTAGACGCAGTGCAATTATTATTTCCTAGTTAATATTTGAGCAGGTTAGACATATGATTCAAAAGGTATCAAGAATTTGTAGTTTCCAAATTTAGTCTATCAGTTGCTTCTGTGATCTTGAACAAGAGGGGCGAAAGATACCAGAGGGTTATTCAAACTCATAAATCGAAAATAAACTGACAACGCCATGGCTAAAAAAGAAAAAGTCAAACAGACAAACAAAAGTACGCAAAACACAACATAAATAACTAAAGACTAAGCAACACGAACCCCACCAAAAACTGGGGGTGATCTCAGGTGCTCCGGAAGGGTAAGCAGATCCTGCTCCACATGTTGCACCCGTCGTGTGCTCGTGTTAGTGCAACCCCGGTAAATAGTCTAATTCGGTAGGTCACATTCGTGAAAAGGGAACGGGGTTGTAGTTACGACATTGGGAACATATCCGCTATCATCTGTGAAACGGATATTCCATTACGGTCAACCAACTCGTGATGGCGTCCGTAAAATTTACGAAGGGATGATTTTTTTTTCTATTAAAAAGAAGAGAATTGATTTGATAAAGTGTATAAGTGCATGAAAGCAAAATTTTTTAACTCATTTTAGTCTAAATGTATATATAAACACTGTTAACTTGACCTTTCAGTTACTGGTCAAAAAGATCACTAAACTTTTTTTTTCAGTAGCAATTCAATATATGTTAGCCTCTGGCCTTTGTAAGTCTTGTATGTTTTTTTTTTAAATTTTAGTTCATTTATATGTTTCGGAGTTTAGTATGACGTCCATTTTCATTTAACTAGTACTCATTTTTGTATAGGGGCCAGCTGAAGCCCGCCGTCGGGTGCGAGATTTTCTAACTGTGTTGAAGACCAATTGGTCGGGTTGTTGTCTCTTTGACACATTCCCCATTTTCATTTTCAATTTTATTGATATAGGTCATATGAATGTTTCAAAAACCAAGTTTGGAAAAATTTGAACATATGTTTTAAATAGATCACATTCTATCCACAATGTGGCCAATATTTCAGTCTATCAATAGCTACTGTGAACTTGACCTTTGACTTTAAAATCAATATGGATCTATTTCAATTTATCAGGCATTATCATATCAAGTTTGCAAAGATATCGCTCACTTGGCTTTTTTTGCATTGAATTGCTTTACATGCCAATAATTTGTCTGGTGCTTTTGTCAATGTTGACTTTAGTTGTAGACCATGGCTTGCTCATTTTTGTGTTTTTCTATCTACTATAGTTTCCATATACCTTTTTCTAGATCCTATCACTACAAACCAGTAAAAGTCTGAAATGGCCTATATCTGTACTCGACTGTACTGATTTTTACTCGACCAGTCTGAAATTTACTAGATAATACTCGACTGTAGTCTTAACCATACTTAACAGTCTGAACTTGTACTCGACCCTTACTCGACCAGTACTTAACCATTTTATACGCGTCTGAACCAATGCTCGACCTAGTCTGAACCATGCTCAACCTAGTCTGAACCATACTCGACCTAGTCTGAACCATACTCGACCAGGTCTTAACCTACCTAGACCTATTTTTTGTATCTATCTATTGTATTTCATCAATTTAGGAACTGTTTTTAGCAACAGCTATTTCCCCTGGCTAGAATTTTGAACAACAATTTGAAATTAAAAATGTATTCAATATAGCATTGAAACCAAAATTTCGCAATAAACATAATATAATTTTTTGAATGTTTCAGTAAATATTTTATGGTTACTGGACAATTTTCACCACTTAAGCCTCGTATAGATTTATGGTGTCAGTTGAGTTTAGTTAATAATGCAGTGAACATTTTTTTTATTAAAATATATATAAAATAGCATATAAAGCAACTTAATAAATTTAAAAAATGACACCTTTGTTTTGTTAAACCAAGAATTTAATATAATCATGATAATAGAACTTCCATAGTAATCCTGTGATAAATTTTAAAAAAGGAAATGTGTTCCAAAGTTACAGTAAAAATTTATTTCAATTAAATTCAAATATTTTTTGTCAAAATTAAAGACATGGCATACAAGAAGCACTTTAATAAGGTTTAATTACCTCAGTACATGTGTGTTTTACAGGTAAAAAGAAAGCCCTATATTTCTTAAACTTGTGTATTACGTATCTAGTGAATTCAAAAGGCCTTGCGATTTAAGTTTCACAGGATGTTGCAATTTTGAATGAATGTTATTTAGAATTTAATACTCTCTGACCAGGTGTGATCTTTTTCATGAGTTTGCCCCAAGCAGGAGGTATTACTTTATACTTCACCACTAATCAGAAGAACAATTTTATTATTTCTTTAAATTTTATCCCTTTTTGATATATATTGTATATAATATATTCCAAATTATAATAATAAATATATTTCTAAAATAAGGTTAAACAATTTCAGTGATTTTGTTGGCTGTTGTTACCTGATTAAAAAGATAATTATATAACTATTGTACATTTTTTGTATGTAACCATGAAACCTATGTAGTTTTTATTTAGGAATTTAGGAAAATTAATTTAAAATAAAAACACATGCCAAACAAGAAGCACCTTAATAAGGTTTAATTACCCTCAGTATAGGTATGGTTTTTAGGTAAAAGAACACTTTTTTTAACAAAACTCTCAAACTTTAAAATTAATATAATTAAATTATTATATAAGATAATTTGATTTAACTATCTCTATTCGATAAATCTGAGAATCATGTAAGAATGTAAAAATCTGTTTTTATAATATATCTTTTTTTTATTGTGGCTGTTGTCATGTCAGTTAAAAAGAAATTTATTTTAACAGTTAAAATTTAGAAAAAGTAGAGGTTATTTGGTCAAGTATGGTTCAGACTGGTCGAGTATTGTTCAGACCTTTGGTCGAGTATGGTTTAGACTGAAAAAAATAGGTCGAGTACAGGTCGAGAATGGGTTAAGACTGTTTCAGACTGGTCGAGTAATAGTTCAGACTATTTTCAATGGTAAAGATAAGGGTCAAGTACAAATCAGTACAGTCGAGTATGGTTAAGACTGAGGTCGAGTAATGTCGAGTAAAATTCAGACCAATTCAGACTGGTCGAGTAAAAATCAGTACAGTCGAGTACAGATATAGGCCATTTCAGACTTTTACTGGTTTGTAGTGTATACTCTGGTCATTTTTGCCTTTTAATATTTCTGTACATGTATCTATTCTATCTCTATCTACTATAGTTATCATAGACCTATTTCTAGATCTTGTACTCTGGCGAATTTTGTCATTATAGAGAATGGCCAGTTTTGTCATTTAGTTTCTCTATATCTATTTTCGTTTACAAAATAACAATCAAAATATTCTATACATAGTTGTCTTTAATTCTCAAAATTTCTAACCCGTTCAGATTTTTATTTATATTCTGGTTTACAAGATAATAACGTATATGTTATGTAACATTCAAAAAGTATTTTATTATAATTTACTAAGTAAACATAATTTTGCAATCAGAAATCTTATGTTCGAACAAAATACATATAAACTATGTTTTAAAAGGGGAAATAAATAAGATTAGTAAGTTTTATAAAAGAATGTACTGTAAATTATTCTATTTTGTTATGTAGCAAGAAGAGGTACCAATTAAGTTTTCACGATAGTCATAATAATGATTTTTTTATTATTATTCTTAGAAAATATGAGAATACCACTCCATCTGTAACTTGAAAATCTCTGTAGAGGGTTTCGCAGAACCCTATACATGTAATATTGCTGTTGTCAGAGTGCATGTGTAATGTTGACTGCCGAACATTAACTTAGAGTAAATTTTTCATTTAAATAACGATTTTTTCAAACGAACTTTTTGCATCAGATGCTATTTCTAGATCGTGAAACGGCTTCTATCCATGTTTCATAACATTCCATGAGGGTTTGACAACGTTATTGATGTCTTAAAATTTAAACCCAAGACTGTATTTTTATAATGTTCACTGCAAGAAAAAAAAAGGGTTAAATATTGAAAAATGAAAAATAAACATATTTTCAAAATTTTGCAATAGCTTTTACCTCTGAATCCAAAAAAAGCTTCTGGCAATGTTCCAAAAATGTTGATGAAACTTTGACAAAGTTATTGATGTCTAATAAACTTTAACCTTAGACTGTATCTAAATGCTTAATGCAATTCTAAGTCCTTTTATCAGTAAGATATGGAGAAATTAAAAAAAAGTGTTTCCGAAATCTTGCTCTGGATACAGTCTTTTCATCATTAAAAAGCTTCTGTCTAATTTTCATTCAAACTCTTGATGGTTTGAATAAGTTATTCAGTAAACCTTAACATTAGAATTTTTACTTATGGAAACTGCAATACAAAAACTATGTCTGTTATCAGTAAAATACGGACAATTTAAAAAACTAATCTAAAAATGGCTATTTATTCTGTCTATTGACAAAAACAAATTCTGTCCAAACTTTATACAATTCACTAAAGGATTGACAAAGTCTGGACCTTAACATTGACGCCCACGACAGAATGTAGGATTGATATATCCCGCTTCCGCGACGATATGTCATAGGCTTAACAAAACTATTACACAATTATCCATACTTTTTATCATATTTTTGAAACAGCACAGTAAAAATAATTTGATTTACTAATATTTGATAGTAAGAAAAAAGCGTATTGTGAATCCAGATTTATTTGTAATTTATTATCAACTTTCATCTTTTGGTTTATATTCCTAGCTTTAAAATCAAATTTAACATGGTCAATTCCTTATTAATTTGTAATATTAAGTACAAATGTAATTAAAATCATTTTAATTTTAAACTGATATATTCTACAAATCATTCTTAAACGCTTTTACAAAACAGGAACAAAATTTCATTTTACTCCAGCTGTGTAAAACCGTTGATATAACTTCGTTTATGTTGTGACTTCTGGTGTAAATTTAATAGTTAAAAAGAAAAACACCAACTTTAAAGTCTTAGAAAAATGACCATAGTCGTATGAATAATTTTGGGATGCACTTACATCTACTATATTTGCCCATGCTGTATTGAAATCAGCTGTTGCCATCGTGTTACTTTCATGGTGAGCTAATATATTTCTGTACCATTTTATCCTGGCAAGATCAGACCCTGCAGTTGTTTCCCCAGGAAGTGGTAGCTTATCAAATCCATTGATTGGAGAAATGATAGGTGTCAAGTTTCTGACCAAACAGATCATTAACGTTACATCGAAAGTTTTGGAATCAGGTACACCTGTAACATCAAAAGTCAACAGTTATTTTTGTCCTTGAATTGATGTCCAGGCGAAGTAAAAATGACTGCTAAATAAGTTCAAACAGCAGAATGTACATCAAACAAATAGAACGAAAAAAAAACAATATTTGTTTTTTTCTTTATAGATGATTTCCTAACTTTTGTCTTTACATAAATACTTTCTAACTGGTGCCACAATGTTTTTTCCTGTCTCTCTCTTGTGTTTTGCTCATGTCAAAAAAGCATTCATATAGTTAATACGTTGTTACATTACTGGGTACTTTGCTTAATGTTTAATAGTGTTATATATTGACAAATTAATTGATCATTGTTAATTGTTTATAATGTTTAACATTCAGTAACAAATATTTCATGTATATACGTCACGATAACAGTATGAAGGTTTTAAAATCACATCTAAGAATCTAATTCCTTGAAAAATATGGAAGCAAAAGCATGGAATCGGTAAAAAAATATTTGTCAAAGAGAGACATACCATTTATTCAAAGCTTCACAATTTATATATAAACTTGCCTATTGTTGAAGACCTTATGTTGGCCTGTAGATGTTTTCGTGTGTTTGTGTTGAATTACTGTCTCATTGATGAATTTCTTTAAAACGTGTTAAGAATTCAAACAGTATGTAAAACGACAAGATCAAAAATGAATAAAGATAAAAAAGATCAAAAATGAATAAAAATCAAAGAGATCAAAAATGAATAAAGATAAAAATGATCGAAAATGAATAAAGATCAAAAAGATCAAAAATGAATAAAGATAAAAAAGATCAAACATGAATAAAGATAAAAAAGATCAAAAATTAATAAAGATAAAAAAGATCATACATGATTGATAACAGTATTACAAGAAAAAGCATTTACTAGACAAAAATGTGTATAAATGTGTACGAGTACATCTGTAAAAAATCATAATTATAATAAAAAATGTTAAAACCTTTTTTTTACAATGTAAACTTATATCCTTTTCAACTTAGGTTTACAATTTGTTCTTATTTAATTCTGTCCAAAATTATGAGGAGGGTTGGTCGCCCGAAAACATGTTAAACATGCCACATTCTGTCCAAAGTCAGGATCCTGAATTTCATTGTTTGTCGTTTTTTTGCTGTATATCTGCTATATACTTGTATTCCGTTTGTTGTTTTGTATATAAATCAGACCGTTTGTTTTCTCGTTTGAATGGCTTTAGATTTTATTGGTTCATTTCATAGCTTGCTATGTTGTGTGGGATTTGCCCATTGTTGAGGGCCGTACGATGACCTATAGTTGCAAATATCTACGTCACTTGGTCTCTGTTGAATATATTTATTGGCAATCATACCACATCGCATATGTGTAGTTGGCTTCTATTTCATTAAGTCTTGTTCCGGGTACATAGTTATGAGTTTGACTGTCCCTCTGGTATCTTTCGTCCCTCTTTTATCAGATGATGATCACATTTTGTAAAGTTTACAATGGCTTAAATATAGAAACATAATTTTGTAATAATAGGAAATCTCTGAAAAGTGTATTGCAAACACGAAAATCTATTAAAATATCGACTTTTTTATGAATTTTGTCGATTTTCTACTTGTTGATTACAAAATGATGCAATTTGGATCACTCTTCTAATTACGAGCATCTTCACTAGGTTTAGCAAGCTGTAAAACCAGGTTTAATCCACCATTTTCTACACAAGGGAATGTCTGTACTAAGTTAGGAATATGTCCGTTGTTTTCCATTCGTTTGAAGTAATGGATCTTTTGATGTTGCCACTTGATTAGGGACTTTCCGTTTTGAATTTTCCATGGAGTTCGGTATTTTTGTTATTTGACTTTTTACAAGGATTTCATACCAAGGAATACACGTGTATATGGTCACAATGGTTTTCATTTATTTGCCTTTGAAAACACAAATGATCTGGCATGTCATTTCAGGAAGATGCATCAACAGGCAGAACAGTGTTGTTCATGTAATCATGATAATAATTAAACAAATGATAGCGATAAATAACACTGATTAAATTGACACACATATATAACCTGCTTGAAAGTAAAACACCATATTACTGCATGTATGTAAATGAAGGTGTGTATATGCCTTTTTGTGTATCTCTTATTTAACCTGATCAAATAATCTTACATTTACTACTGTAAGCGTAATGTTGTCCATATTTTTTTTTCTAAAGTGACTGTGCAAGGTTTATGTCACAAATTAAATTTTAAAAATTGGGTGCTAATGGCAGATCTTTCGTTTTTGGTTGTTTTTGCATCGCAATATGTCTATTTTGGAGGCCTGAATCATGCCCTATAATTTCGTTGGATATTTTTGTCATTGGTTTGAGGTCTCATTGATTCACGAATACTCCACATACTTTTGCATTCATATATTGTCAATTCCTTGTAAGCAAAGGGTGGACACAGCATCTATATCTTTACCAGATTGACATTTAACAACCTGACTGAAAACAGAAATACATTATTTTTGTAGACATATGAAATACGTACCATTTTTTGGAAACAAAAGATTCCACTGAGCCTGATTCAAAATTCTTTTCAAATACAAGTCATAAAGAGTGTTGTAGTTTTTATTCAGAGTTGATGGTAGATAAGTAGGTGGAAATCCTTTGTCAAAGAAAGTGCGGACTGCTCTTGGTGACACTCCTTTTAATAACAATGCTAATCGGATATAATTCTCTTCTTCTTCCAAAAGAGGTGCCATCATTCAAGAAATAATTATGGCGTGCAATAAAACAAAAACTATGCCATTCTTACTTGATGGTAAATACCATCCTGTACAATATAAAAGAGTCTCTGTTAGACAATAGAAAACCATACCATTTTTACTTTATGATCCATGTGTTCCTAAAATTTAGAAATAATTCTTCTCTACAATAGAAAAACTATACCATTTTTATTTTATGTTTTTATTTTTCATGAGGACATAAAAGGTTCAATATAATATTAAAAAACAACATAAAATGTAACTACAAGAGGGATAACAACTGACAAGGTTCCTGGCTTGGATTAAACGCATGAATTTATACTTGGAAAGGTGGCAAGGTTGAAATTCAAATTAGTTTATAAATATTATAATTGAAGACAAATATAATGCCTCCGCTGCATACATGATTTACTATTATACCACAGACATTGGCTTCATTGATAAATGATGTTAAAGTACAGATTATAAAATGGTTGTGTCTGTGTTTTTGATACACCGCAAAACGTTTCTTTAAACATTATGTTATTAGTGGAAAATTTTATAAAAAACAAAATCCTGATAAAATGCACACTCAGTTAGCAAGACAAACCATATATATCCCCCATGCTTAATACTACAAAAAATGACACAGTTCAGCAACCTGTCAGTTGTGGAATATTCAAAGTAAATCAAACTCCTTACAAGAAGCACATCTTTAATAGTATATGTTCTAACACTTTACATATTATAAAAATTCTATCTCGAAAACTGTTTGAGGAGTAAGCCTGACAAAAAGCCGGATATAAGATGACTAACATAGTTGTAAAACCTGTCATTTAATAGAAAATGTTGATAAAAATAAAAATCCGGACAACATGCACACATTTATCATATGCATATGTGTACTACATGTACATACTATAAAAGTGCTTGAAACTGTAGGAAGAGTTAGCGGGACAAATCATATACCCGATAACGAACGAACGAATGGAAGGACAGACCGGCGGAGGGATAGGACTAAAACAATATTCCCCGCCCCCTCCCCCCATTTCTCTTTTTATTATTTATTGAAGTACAGGGTGTACTGAAAATCATTCAGACCATTTTAGATCTCAAATGATAAAGTTTTACTCAATTTTGCAAACTTTAGACTCAATTTTGCAAACATCAGACTCGGACTTCTCTTGAACTGAATTTTAATGTGCGTATTGTTATGCGTTTACTTTTCTACATTGGCTAGAGGTATAGGGGGAGGGTTGAGATCTCATAAACATGTTTAACCCCGCCGCATTTTTGCGCCTGTCCCAAGTCAGGAGCCTCTAGCCTTTGTCAGTCTTGTATTATTTTTAATTTTAGTTTCTTGTGTACAATTTGGAGTTTAGAATGGCGTTCATTATCACTGAACTAGTATATATATTTGTTTAGGGGCCAGCTGAAGGACGCCTCCGGGTGCGGGAATTTCTCGCTGCATTGAAGACCTGTTGGTGACCTTCTGTTGTTGTCTGTTCTATGGTCGGGTTGTTGTCTCTTTGACACATTCCCCATTTCCATTCTCAATTTTATTTAGTATAGAATGGACACACTATATTTGAATGCTTGTTTATGTACAAAAACAAAGTATGTAATATAAACTTTAATGGTCTATTCAGTGATGTTAGGAATCGGAACGGTATTTGGAAGGCCATATAATTTACCTCAATTTAGAATAGACTCTTGAATTTTGAAGAGTCGAAATAGGATGAACGGATCATATAAACCCGAAGGCAAATATAATACAAACAAGCCCAAACGAAAAAAATATAAATAAGTCTAAATTGAAAACAACGTTCAAACCTATGATTGCGTTGGATATAAATCGCAATTATTATAAGTGTGCATGCAAAACAAATTTCTTGGAAGAGGGGTCTAAATACAGCACAAACAACATTTTCCAAAAGACCAAAAAAGTGAAAAAAGTATATTTTAACAAAACGCATTTGACTAACAGGTCGAACAACGGATTTTCTTAAACCCTGCTGACTGCCATTGGCGATTGCCAAATAAACGGATCACACGATGTAACAAAATGGATCTTTATTATTAATTTAATACCAAACAGAAAACAATAAACTTGTGGGAAAGATGGTATACCGCAAACATGAGGTGCAAAAATTTGTACACCATATCCGGATTTCGACAATTAATGTCTCTTCAGTGATGTTAGGAATCGAAACGGTATTTGGAAGGCCATATAATTTACCTAAATTTAGGATAGACTCTTGAATTTTGAAGAGTCGAAATAGGATGAACGGATCATATAAACCCGGAGGCAAATATAATGCAAGCCCAAACGAAAAATATAAATAAGTCTAAATTGAAAACAACGTTCAAACCTATGATTGCGTTGGATAAAAACCATATATATATCAAGGGAAGTAGCTCATTATTGGTTAATGAAGAAGATGAGTTGTAAGCGTGAATATATACCTTTTGTCATGTACATGTAGCTACAAAACTAGCTAAATGATACCCATTTTTACCCAGTCATTATATAATGAAAACTTTGTCCTCAATCATTATGAAATAAGAAAATTTTGAACTATTTAAATCTTTTCTAAATAGTGTGTTATGATTTTTTATATTTAGTCAAACCTGCTGTACAGGTCACCTTATATAAGCAAAAACATGTCTGGTCAGGTAACCCTCTTATTGTCTTATTGTAATACGTATATATATTCATTTCGAACCTTAACAAAGATCACCTCACTTATGCGGTCAACTTTCTCTTGTGGAAAGGGTGAACTTTATATCGAGTTGAATGTAATGTGATCTGTCATTTTTTTGTTCTTACCCCTAAACTACCATTAGGAATTCAATCAGAAAAATCAATAATAAAGTGGGAGGGGGGAGTTCAAATGATATAGGTAAATACGACTGGGTTGTCTCTATTTAATTCAGTTTATTCTTTTAATAACAAAATAAGCAATGGAAAATCAAGTCAATACCATCAAAGAAATACAAAACGTTCATACTTTAACTTTTGACAAAATTAATTTTAACAAATAGCTATATACCATTGGTAGATAGCAGGACAAATTCTATTGAAATCGAAAGTAGACTTACTTTTTATGTAAATAAACCTTGTCTTCTATTTCATTCGTACTAAAGGTAATGTTAATTTTAATCGATACCACTGTAAATCTGACAATATGAATACTTTGTAACGATCAACATGTAACGATCAACAGACGAACTTGCCCTACTAAACTCAACTGCGTCATGCTTCCTGCTTAGGTTTCAAAAGAATACACAATAAACAATAGACAATAGACAATATTCGGTTACATTACATGGTTATTGCATGATCAAATACAAACAAAAAAACAGAAATTCACAATTGTATAATTATATGGGTGTGACAGTGTCTTTCATTTATTTGACAATTTAACAAAAAACAAAAGATAATAAATGACTACAAATATTAGTGTATTTTAAAATAATCCTTATTGTATAGTATAAAACTTAAAAAACGTACTTAAAAATTTATTCAAATTTTCTTAATTAGAGACAATCATTAATATATATTGTAGTGAATTTTATAATAACTGACGAATCTCTGCTCAACAGCGTCTAGAGTTGATAACCTGGAGATACATAATCCTATTCTCACTAGCTGTTAAATCTATTTCTGTTACGGTCAAAATCATCTGTGTCCCGGTGAAATATTTTCAATTCCGCAAGCGTTATTTCAAATTTAAGGCTTACAATATTGGGTAATATCAGACGTTAAGAAGCTTTTTGTACACTTGCGAAAAAAAAAATTAAAAGAAAAAACAAACCAATTTTCACGTGAAATATATCGATTCCGAAGTGTTTTATACGTTATTGAAAAAAAAACACAATATGTCCGTTGCCAAGCGGAAATTGTGATCTTGAAAGTCATAAACATATGGTTGTGCGACATTTTTGCAACATTGATATGCTTCGAACGTCTTCGAGTTTAAGCTTAAGACGAAATTCCTTACTACCCTATCCTTTACTTTGAGTCCTCCTGAGAATTCAATTTGACCGATATCCAACCGTACTTATACTTGTAAAATTCCTAAGTTTATTTTCTCAATGATATTATACATCGAAACCACTAAGTTAACAAAACAAAATACACAAGTATATGAATATCAAATATTTCTCAAAAAAAATGTCGTGGTTTGTGAATCGGCTTTATAAAACATGTTCAAAGTGCAACCTATCATGTGTGTCTGACCTAACCAATTTTGTTTTGTGTGGTGTGACGCGATTTGAACTATATCTTTTCATTGATCCCATGTGCTGTCATCAGAACCCACAACACTGCTTGTTCTAGGGAGGAGAGAATCGCTGGGGAAAGTTTTGGATAAGAAAATAAAAAATGTTGGCACCAAATGGAATATATGAAATGGTGTACTTAAATCGCGCAGTGGTGCTAACCACCGCAGTTGGGTTGTAAATATTAAATATTTATAAGCGTGGTTCCGTTTTTAATTTACATTACAAGATTAATTTTAAATCGGACGAGAACTTGTTACTGCAATACAAATATTTGCCCGGCTTTGTACATGACCGACAAGGTGAACCGGATTTATGACATGCTAGTTCATAAGGTAACAGTCAGCAGGAATACATGCCACCCTACCCGATCACATTCTTCAGTTTCTGAGCCGACCAGTCTTGTCCCTTAATGAAACAACGACCTTCCTCACTCGCTACGACGAGACCACCTAAGCGGTATATTGTAATTTGAAAAAGTATGTTTTTTTCTTGTAATATATTCAAATAAAACACAAAGATGCATGGAATCTCATTGTCTATGTTGTTAAAAAATCATGGTTTCGAATCGTCACCGACTCATCACCGAAATCATTTCGAAAAAAATGTTGGCCTTGTTCTTTTTATCTTCTATAAATAAAGCTAAATTACCTTACCAGTTTTTCTTTGTTTTTCTTTGTTATTGATTGTGTGCAAAAATGAACATCAATAGTGTTATAGTATATAAGTTCAAAGCAAGTAAGTGTCCTCTGTATTTTCATTTAAATTTCACCCCTTACCTTTTTCCTACGCCTTAGATACATTTGTCTTCCCTCATCATTTCAATAGCCTATTCATTTATATGGCTTTTATAGATTATGTCATTTTTGTTTTTGATACTGACTTAATCAGCAAGACTAGCAGGCGAGCTCGTTAGGGCAAACTGGGATTTGAACTGATGAGGTCATCATAAAAAAAAAAACAAGTTGCCATTATTCTTTTTTTCGGCAATTCGTCCGAACAATATGTTCCTTGGGAATAATCTATACTATTAAATGAGAAGACCTCATTTTGTGTGTCGCTTCTCTTGCTTCCTTCCACAATAAATTAATCATCACGCCTCTGTGTCCTATAGGTACCATGCATAGTCGCATTTGTCATCCTCGCTTATGATTATTCAGTTTGGGTTATTTTTGGGAGGAAAACGAAAATAAAGGGACTTGCGATTAGGACTGTTTTAATAAAATTACACATAATTTTCATAAGTACTTGGTTACAGGACAATTATTTTCGCGTTTTTCTGTATCTATGATCATACATATAATGTAAATAAAATGTATTTGCTATTTACTATCAATTCCAAGTTTACTATCCACGGCGGTCACTGATATATTATATAGAAAGTCTATATATAATGTAAGTGACTCACATCTCATTGATAAATTGACGCGGATGAATATGAAAAACGTGACGGTTCTGCATTGCATGTGACGTCGTCGACTTATATGATCTAGTATCACGTCCTCTCCATGATCCCAAAAAATTGTAGACAGTAGGATCAAAGGCTAAATGTACAAAGAGCTGCTAAAATTAGGAGATGTGGAATGTTTGCTAATGAGACAACTATCCACCAGACAATAATGAACGTGAATTGGTGTAAGCTATTATTCCAATGATTTCATATGTATAAGATAATGAGATTTGTTATGATTGCCAACGAGACAACTATCCACCAGAGACCAAACGGTATTGATGTAAGCAACTACATGTATATTTGAATATGTTAAGAATGACTTTAACAAGATTCCGTTCTTCTTTTATATGGAATATGCAGTTTTTTTCATTCCTAATTGTACATGTAAATGCAAAAATATATTATTTCAGAATGCAGTTCTCAAACATAAATATATTCTTTTCTTAGATTCACAATTAACAATCATTTGAACGGTTTCTATTTTAATTATGAATGATATGGTATTAACTCATGAAAACTTTTTTGATCAATTTCTCTCTCCGATTAATTATCTTACTGGTTGAAAGAATAATTGCCAAATTTTATATTACCATGTGTTGACCGGAGTCTAGAAGTAGGCAGTATTTATATCAAATGTAAAGTGTTTTGACTGATGAAAATGATAAGCTTTGCTCGACTTGATTAGGTTATACTTTAGGCCCTTATTAGTTTGATCAGTTTTTAAACGTTTCTGTTAGGTTTTGGATTTAAGATATATTGGCCTTGGACATCACTAAATAGTCATACATTGTCGAAATGCCCATCTGGTGCAGTAAACTTGATACTGCTCATGTTATTCGTATAGTAAGCAATACTATTGTAACAAAATTTCTCAACTTTTTTTTGTTGTTCGTAATAAATTCACACTTAATTTTGAATAGAACCTAATTTATTTTCAATCGGATGAGCGATTTTAGAAAAGTACAAATCTCTCAGTAATCCCAAGTCAAATTAAAAACTTTCAATTGTGTATGTATACTGCTTTTAAACCGAAAAACACGAGTTTGTGAAGAGTGAAAGTCTATTAATAAGCAAATACAGATACAGTGGCATTGAGTGTACCGAAACAAGTATACCCTTTAACGCTTGACTCTTTTAGAATAGGCCCAGTTGAGATATTTCGTTCGAGTTCGTCGGTTAATATATAGGTTAAAGAACACAAAAATACAACAGCCACGTTTAGGATTACTCCAGGGGGTAGATCTGAAAATATCAACAGATTAGTTTTCACATGATATTCCGTTTATTTCACGTTATATCATAAAGTTTACAAACAAAAGAAATATTTTAAGCCTATGAATCCCGTTATTGGATTACATAAAAACAAATACCAAAATTAAACTGTTAACATTTAAAAATAATAGGTTCACAATTTAGCTGTTTATTCTCAGATCTGTTTTTAAAATTGTCATCTTCATTGTTGCTCAGTCTTTGGTTTTCTGTGTTGTGTTTTTTATACTGACTTTTCATCGTTTTTATTTTTTTTTTGCCATGGCCTTGTCAGTCTGTTTTTGACGTATGATTTTGAATGTTCCTTTGATATATATTTCGACACTCTTTTTTAGTTGTGGCGTAAACGTAATTATGTAGTATATTATGGCAAAAACTCCTCATATTTGTCATATCATTTTAACAACTATTTATTAAATTCAGGGTAACTTTTTTCTTTAAAAGGAAAGTACAATTAATTTCTGTATTTAGAAATGCTCCCTGTAATATCAACTATGAATATGAAGGCAAAATGAGCCATAATATATAAATGTATTACGTTTTGTAGCGAACGATCGGAAATGGGAACGTTACTATGAATGTGACATAACAAACTTCAACGTCACATTTCTCTTGAAATCAATCAAAATACTATATTACCGGTTCATTATTCAAGCAAAATGATATTGTTCTCAAGGCAACATAAGTAGGTATACTTTATACTGTAACAGTTCTAAAGTTGTGGTAAGTAATCTTAATTATGTCATTAAACCATGGGGATAGATATTGGCCAATTGGTATTTTTGAGAAATCACAAAGGCAAATATCATGACAATTGTTAACCTAAACATTTTCTTTTGCATAATCTATAGTGCAGTGACCAGAGTCAATACTTGTTCAACATTAAATCGTCAAACATACTATATCTCGGACTTTAGAAAGGCAACACAAAAGATATTTGCAGTTATTAAATTAGAAAAAATATCTACATGTGTATTACATTAATGTATGGTACATACGAGTATCAAATCTTTCTTTCAACGTTACAGACAAAAGTTAGCGTCAATAATGAAACCACTGACGCAATTTTCAGTATTTGAAGTAATGCGGTACACACTTATAGTATGGATTTCTGTCTTCAGTATCGGGTAAAATAACCTCCGTTGTTCAGTACAACAGCTCATAATCTCGAATTGATTGACAAAGGCTTCTTTCTGTTATTTTTCCTGTTGTAATGTGATACCAATTTCATCGGGGCTGTCGGAGGATTCAGACGAG